ACAATGAATAACAAAAATGAATATAAATGAATTATGGATAAGGAATAAAAGAGAATAGAAAATTCAAAGAATGTAGTGTTCAAATATTTGTATTATTTTTTAGAATTTTATCAATTCAGGACCTGAAAGATAGATGAATTATCAATCTGGGATCTGAAAGATGAAATGTATCGATATAAGACCCGAATGATGGAAAACTATCAATTTAGGACTTGAATGATTGGAAATTGTCAATTTAGGACCTACGTTGTCTGAAATTTTATTAATTTTTTTATCTTAAATTTTTTAAATATTAATTAGTTTTATGAAACTAATAAACTTTTGTGAAGAAAAGTTTATCAAAAATTTGCAATGGAATTAATAAAAAACAAATAAACCAAAACCTATGAAATTTTAGGTCCTAGATTGATAGTTTTTCATCATTCGGGTCCTATACCGATAAATCTCATCTTTCAGGTCCCGAATTGATAATTCGTCTATCTTTCGGGTCCTCAATTGATAAAATTCCTTTTTTTTATGTTGACTATTAAATTAAATTTTTAGCATAAACAAGATCAAATTCAAATATAATATTGTCAATGTTTATATGTATCATCGGCCTCAATATATCTAAAATAAAAAAGTAACAGAAAAGCTAACATCATTGGCAATAATTGGTTTATTTTTGTAAAAACAGTTTACTAGCTAGTTGTGATTATTGTTGTGAACTTTTCAAGTTTGAATTATATTCGTAAAATATGTAAAAGTAGATATTATTGATGTCAATTTCGCTTTATATTTTCGTGAGAGTTAAAATAGTTTATACTCCCCCTGTCTCATTGAACTTTACCAAACTTTCTATATTTGTTTGTTCCAAAAACTTTGTCTTTTTTCTTTTAAAGTAATGAATTTGTGGTTCTCGTTATTTCTCTCTCCCTTGAATAAATCTCAATCACATAGTTTTTTACTTTTCTTATTCCAACCTCAAATGGTAGTGTGCAATGTTAGGTGGGATGGATGGATTATTATTTTTTATCTAGAAAAAACACTAATATACTCCCTTTGTATCATTTTATCTGTCCTACTTTCCTTTTCAGGTTGTATCAAAATAAATGTCACACTCCTTTTCTAGAAAGAATTTGTTGGTAGAAAATATCTCGGGTAGAGAAACTAGCAGCATTTCGGTATAGTAAAGTAGCGTAGATAATACATGGGGTGATGGCCTATTTATAAGCATCTATCACAAGTCCAAAGTCTAATCTATGTGGGCTTGGCCCAAATTAACAATACATCTCGAAGCTAACGGGCCAACCGACCCGATAAGTAAGTAAATAATCCCGGACCAATATCCATTAGTCGGACTGTGTTCTGAGCTTGGTCAGGCCAAAGCTCGGGTGTAACGGGCCGATAGTCTCGGACCCGACCCATTATCCCAACACGAGTCCCCCACTCCCTTAGTCGAGTAGTAGACTCGGCTAAAAGAGAGTAGTTAAGATGTTTTGGAATTGGTCTGGTTCTTCGAATTAGATAAGCTGTTTGTGAAAGGATGGAGTCTGCTTTGTTCCAACCGGGAGACCTCTTCTTTTGTTCATGATGAGGGTGCCTCGTTAAAACCTTACTAGGAAAAAACGCAGTGGGAAAAAATCCCAGTGAAGGAAAAAGAGTACACCGGAACCTTAAAATAAAGCAAAGGAAGGCTAGTCTCCTCGGTTCTTGATTGAGTGTCTGCTTTACTGGCAAGTTGAGATATGTTTCGGGAAGGCCGGTCCCATGGCTGTTTGCGAGTGGTGGCGGTCGACCCAAGATTTGCTCGGGAGATACCAGTTGCACAGTTGTCTGTTGATGATGCAGAACTGAGGTGTGCTCGGGAGAGGCTAACGTCTCAGCTGTCTACTGATGATGCTGAGCTGCGGTGTGCCCTGAAAAGGCCGGTTGCACGTTGTCCACATTATTCCCCACTGCTTGCAAAAGGCTTTGGTTTTGTTCGTCTGGGTAGCAGTTCGGGTCTTGTTTGTTCGACCAACAGCCCGGGGTCTTGTTTGTCCGATTAGCAGCTCGAGGTCTTGTTTCTCCGACTAGCAACCCCGGTCTTGTTTGTCCGATTAGCAGCTCGAGGTCTTATTTCTCCGACTAGCAGTCCAAGGCCTTGTTTGTCCGATTAACAGTCCAGGGTCTTCTTCCAAATTCACAAAAAGTGAGCCCTCTAGCCACTCCGTGCAGCTGCAACGGTTGCCATCTGCTAAGAGAATGACAAAGACCGGTCTTCACTTATGAACAGTGCTTGTCTGACATTCTCGGGAGGATGCGGTGAGTAGTTCACCATGATAAGTAGTCTCTGTTGATTGCTATTATTACTTGTTACAGACATTGTAGGTAGGAGAGGTGCTCTCGCTGCTTTAGCTGCAGTGCAAGATGCTAAGTCTCGGCCTTCGACACGTGATGAAGGTCTGCCTCATGCAGGGAAGAAGCCCGAAGCTTCTCTGTCTGATGATGGGGAAAAGCCAGAAGCTTCCCTGCTTTGCGAAAAACGACTTTCCAAGAAGAACAAAGGTATAAAGTGGTCCTTAGGCCGGGTAAGGGGAGATAACCCAACTGGCAGAATCCTCGCTTACTCTGTTCATTTCCTCGTAGTATGGCACGTCAGAGAGGCGCACCTGCTTCCTTTCCTCGACCTTCGTTTCCTCATAGGTATGGTAGGTCGCAGAAGTGCATTTGCTGCCCTGCCCTGACCTTCTTTTCCTTGTAGGTATGGATGGTCGGAGAAGCGTATTTGCTGTCTTGGATGCGACGAAGGATGCTAAGTCTCGACCTTTGACATCCGATGTAAGTCCATCTAACGTCGGGGAGAAGCACGCAACTTCTCTGCCTGATGTCGGGGAGAAGCATAAAGCTTCCCTTCCATGCCTGATGTTGAAGAGAGGCACACACCTTCCCTGCCTAATGCCAGGGAATGCTAAGAGTTTCTCCGCCTGATGTCGGGGAGATGCCCAACTTCTCTGCATAATGTCAGGTAGATGCTTAGAGCTTCTCTGCCTGATACTGGGGAGAGGCACGCACCTTCCCTCCCTGATGTTGGGGGGAGGCACGCACCTTTGCCTGATGCAGGGGAGAGGCACGCACCTTCCCTGCCTAATGCTGGGGAGAGGCACGTACCTTCCATGCCTAATGCTAGGGAGAGACACGTACCTTCCATGCCTAATGCTAGGGAGAGGCACGCACCTTCCCTGCCTAATGTCGGGGAATGCTAAGAGTTTCTCCGCCTGATGTTGGGGAGATGTCCAGCTTCTCTGACTGATGCTGGGGAGAAGCATGCATCTTCCCTGCCTAATGTTGGGAACATGCCAAAATCTTCTTTGCCTGGTGCTGGGGCAACTCATTCCTTGTTGTTTGTTGAGTCAGTGAGAGAGTTATGTTGCAGCTTTACTCATGTATGTCAGTGGTTGAAGGGTTGCGTGATCTTGTTCGGGTTACGGGGAGCCCAAAGTGGTCTGACCTTCTGCAATTTGAGTATGGTCGAAATGTTAGGCCATCTCGACGCTCTCCAAATAGAATGGAGAGTGAGCCTGGCGGGACCTCCACTTTACTTTGTCTTGATGAACAGTTGTTGGCGAGGATGGCTTGTGATTGCATCCGGTCTTCAAAGCTATGCTTCGATCCTTGCGTGAGCGTTACTCGATCGTAGGTGGTGTGGGAAGGATGGACGATCTCGCTCCTTGCACGAATTTGGGTTGGAGATGAGCTTTGTGTGACTCAAAATGAATGGTGATGTAATGATCATTGGCCTCGTCATGACCACTACTTAGTTTGAATTTCGAAGCCTATTAAAGAAGAGTTTAAACCCGCGCCAGGTAGTCTAGGCTCAGGAGTGGGCGAAGACATAACAGGCTACCTTGAAGGTATACGCGGCTTGCCACGGAGCAGATGATCAGAGCATGCTCAATCTTGGTATGATAGGTTGACATATCGTCTTCCCGGATTTTACCCCGAGAAGTTTGGTTCGTCCGAATCATGTTTGACCCTGATGAGTTGGAGAATGTGGGTGAAGACGACGACCTCGATACTTGGTCTCCTAGACACTTCCTGGGGGTCCTTGATGATCTAGATGGAGTCACTCATGAGCCTGATTTGGGATTGTTTTCCAAGTTGTCACAGAGAAGATGGTCGTGATCTTGGAACTATTCTTCATGATTGCTTTATTGCTTCAGCTTGTACGCGTGCTTCATTCATCTTTCAATCTACTTGGTCGCTTTTCATTCAAGAATACTTGGATAACTTATTGGGGATCTAGCTCCCAACCTAGGCAGCGCGCGAGGGGCGGAAAGTCGACAAGGTCGACCTTGACCGCGCCCTGCTGGGTAAGGCGGGGCTGACCCGCACACTGTCGGTCTAGGACCAACGAGATGTACAAGCTGTTTGGCCAGCGATTGGACAACGGATGTATGAGAGGGGCTCGGGGCGCAACCTCTCGCATACCTTCAACCCAGAGGTCGGTCTTACACCGCCTTGACTTGTAGAGCTAGTTTCATACTTAGGAAATATTTTGGTTATTCCCTTTCTGAAAGTCGAATTGAAGTCGGCCAAACGTAAGGGCAAGGCCCTGCATGATCAGACCAGAATGGACCCGCACCGTTGATCCTGTCAAGCGCGTATGCGAGCTACTAAGCCTAGCAACGTCAGACAACGGATGTACGAAAAGGGCTCGGGGCACAACTTTTCGTTTTCCTTCGGTCCGGAGACCGGTCATATAGTTGCTACATCATTGATTGGATCATACGTGCATGCGAGCTATTTAGACAGCAATGCCAGACAACGGATGTACGAGAGGGGCTCGGGGCGCGACCTCTCATATACCTTTGCGACCCGGAAGCCGGTCTTACAATTGCCCTTACCGAGTAGCTAACCCCGGACTTAGAAAGTAGTTTGATCATTTCCTTGTCTGAGGGCCAAGCCGTGGTCGACTAAACACCGAGAGCGGGGTGTGATATATATACACTCCTTTTTTTCTCTTTTTTCTTTTTTCTTTTTTTTCTTTTCTCTCTCTGTTTTTTTAGCCGCCGCCCGTTTAATCCAAGTGAGGTCAGACCTCATCAAATTCCAGATTGAAAAACGAATTATATACTTTTTTTAAGTAATGAAAGAATTTGAGAACTTGAGGAGTTGCTCCGGTTCTGCATTTGATTCACAATTTGTGATGATCGACTCATAGAATGTGAGAGAGCTATTTAGACAGCAATGTCGGACAACGGATGTACGAGAGGGGCTTGGGCCGCGACCACTCGTATACCTTTTCGACCCGGAAGCCGGTCTTACAATTGCCCTGACCGAGCAGCTAACCCCGGACATAGAAAGTAGTTTGATCATTTCCTTGCCCGAGGGCCGAGCCGTGGTCGACTAAACACCGAGAGTGGGGCGTGATGTATATATACTCCTTTTTTCTCTCTTTTTTCTTTTTTCTTTTTTTCTTTTCTCTCTCTGTTTTTTAGCCACCGCCTGTTTAATCCAAGTGAGGTCGGACCTCATCAAATTCAAGATTGAAAAACGAAATATAAACTTTTTTTAAGTAATGAAAGAATTTAAGAACTTGAGGAGTTGCTCCGGTTCTGCACTTGATCTACAATTTGTGATGATTGACTCATAGAATGTGAGAGAGCTGATCTGCAATCCATTCTTCATCAACGAGCTTGCAGTACTCCGCTTTCATGTAAAATCTTGTACCCCTTTGACAACGATTCTTCCATGCCTTCGTGTAATAGCTCCATTTTGCAAGATATGTTCCACTTTAGCAACGGTGCTTTCAAGCCTTCGAACCCCTTGACAACGGCACTTCCACGCTATTGTGAATTTCTGCGGCATAGGGCGTCTTCGTATTATCTGAAGGATGTGTCCAAGTCCACAATAATGGTGTGACTGGAATGTTTATGCACCTCTTCCTTTGGTGTCAATCTCTAGAACCCTTGAGCCAAAGCTTCTAGAACGCGGGTGGCTTCTCGGAACGCTTGCACCCCTGCATGAAGTTATGTTAGCTTTGTGTGCGGAGCACAATATGGCTCACCTTTAAGACGATCACAGGCAGATTTCCCGTTACGACCGTGACCCAGTGTACCCCTTGAGTTTCCAGGATTCGACAATTGATTCCAGAGATCTCCTGTCAGCATCATCACCTGGCTCCTCACATGACGGTCGTTGTATTGTCCATACTGCTCGGTGTGAATGAAAACTTCATGTCGGAGTTCTCGTCCTCCGGATCATCACGCTTCCCTTTGTCTTCCTTATTTCCTTCTTTCCTTCTTCTTCATCCTTCTTCCTCTGCTTGGCATCTTCTGCCTCCGCCTGGCGGTCTGCACGCCCTTGTGGAATGGCTTCGCTTTGCAAGGTTTGTAGCCCCTTAGCATCAGTACTTCTGGACCTTCATGGTTAGCTCCACGTTGCAAGGTCTGTACCCCTTTAGGAACGATGCTTCCAGGACTTCGAGTAACAGCTCCGCGTTGCAAGTTCTGTACCCCTTTAGCAACAGTGCTTCCTTCCCGGGAAGAGTGTTGTCGGGAGGGCCCCTTCCTGGCTGCTGCTGCGTTGCAAGGTCTGTACCCCTTTAGCCACAATGCTTCCCTTTGTCTTCCTTCTTTACTTCTTGTCGGAGTTCTCATCTTCCAGGTCATCACACTTCCCTTTGTCTTCCTTCTTTCCTTCTTCTTCATCCTTCTTCCTCTGCTTGGCGTCTTCTGCCTCAGCCTGGCGGTATGCATGCCCTTGTGGAATGGCTTCGCGTTGCAAGGTTTGTAACCCCTTAGCAACGGTACTTCTAGACCTTCATGATCAGCTCCATGTTGCAAGGTCTATACCCCTTTAGCAATGATGCTTCCAGGACTTCGAGTAACAGCTCCGCGTTGCAAGGTCTATACCCCTTTAGCAATGGTGCTTCCTTCCTTCCTGGGACGAGTGTTACCGGGAGGGGCTTCTTCCTGGCTGCCGCTGCGTTGCAAGGTTTGTACCCCTTTAGCCACGATACTTCCATGCCTTCGAGTAACAGCTCTGCGTTGCAAGGTCTGTACCCCTTTATAAACGGTGCTTCCAGGAATTTGAGTAACAGCTTCGCGTTGCAAGGTTTGTACCCCTTTAGCAATGGTGCTTCCTCTCTTCCCGGGACGAGTGAGGGCCTCCTTCCTGGCTGCCGCTGTGTTGCAAGGTTTTTACCACTTTAGCAACGATTCTTCAATGCCTTCGAGTAATAGCTCTATGTTGCAAGGTATGTGCCCCTTTGACAACATCGCTTCATCATGGTACCAGTGGATGGTTCAGGGGCATGGAGGTCGGCCACGTATGGCTCTCCCCCGACGACCCTTCTCCTCAGCTCGTGTAGCCTTAGCCTCAGATCTTCCATCGCATCAGGGGTCGGTTCTGCTTGTGCGCGTCCAGCGTGGAGCTGAACTTGCGCAGAAGACTCTGCAACCTCTCGCGTAAGTGAGGTTGAGATTTAGCATGACGTCCATCCGGGAAGGCTGTCCGCCTCCCTGGTTGATGAGAGTGATGAGACGAATCATCCCTTCCTTCCCTGGACGAGTGTTGCCGGGAGGGCCTCCTTCCTGGCTGTCGTAGTTGCACATTTTACTGGGACACATACTCCCTTCAGGATCCGTTTGTGCTGGTACGTCTCCCTCCATATCGTCTGGAGGACACTTCTAAGACTCATGCACTAATGTGACTTGAATGCTAGTGCTCTGCCTCCTGCGGCATCAGCCTCCGGAATCCCTGAGCCAAATCCTCAATAGCACGAGTGGCCTCTTGGAGTGCCTGTCAGGTCTCTAGGGCTCGAAAGGCTTTTCCTTAGATTTCCCGTCGATCTCACCTCTTGGCTTCTCACATGATGGCCGTTGGGCTGCTCTGAGTGTTTGGTGTGGATAGAAACGTCCTCATAATGTCTGGAGCGGTCAGGGCGTACAGGCGTAGAGCATAAGCGCATACACGATGTGTCTTTTTCGGAGCTCCGCATGGACCGTACAGACGTACATGCGTAAGGTGCAGGGCTTCGCGGCGGTGTTGCATCGTTGCACGACCGATCAATGCTAACGACTATCCTGCAATCTTAGAAAATTTTAATAGAAATTCCAAATATAAATTTTTAATGTTTGATATATGTCGTCATTGATGACCGCTCCAATTTGAATGCAGTTCTTGGTGAGAAAGGACTGAATCGGAGCTCAGGTATCCTTGACTTGGTCATTGATGAGTTACTCGAGATCCATCTTCTTTTACCCCTTAGAGTGTTAAATAATTTAGATTGACATCTCAATTATTTTTTGATAAAAAAGAATTTTGGCATTAGGTGAAATTTTGACTAGTCAAACTTGAAGTTGCTTGGAGAGAAGAAGTCAAGCAGTGGGCAGTCATCTTCTCCAACGGTGTTCAGAAGAGAGGAGTCGTCTGCATTTGCTGGGCTACAGATCGGAGTTGGCTAGGATGTTCCAGCCGTCCTCGTCGCTCCTGGTACCTGCTATGGAATAGAGGCGTGAGGGTGCCGCTGCTACAGACTACCTCGGCTGGGAAGAGGCGTGGACCCATCGATCATCCTTGCTGTCGACGAGAGAGAAAAGGGGCTTCGCCGAATCAGACGCTGCAGCGACAACAGAGAAGAAATTCATGGCGTTCAATTTGCTTTTCCAGGCCTCAAGCGGCCATTGATGGCGGATAACCATGGTAGCTCGACTCAGAGGCGGTGGAACGACCTGCTGGCTGACGTCGTGGCAGCTCTGCGAGACACACCCGGCGAGGGACCGCTGGTGTGGCTGAATTTGGTGAGGTGGAGAGCCGGGTGCTCTGGCGGTACCTGGTCCTCCAATAGCAGAGCATCACCATCGGCCACCTTCTTCTTCGCCCGGATCCGTTTCAGATCTCAAAATTTGAGATTTAAGTCTAATTTTTGCTAGGGATCACCGGATAGTAGGCTGCGTATTTACAGATTTTTCTTGTACTACGTATTTTTTATGAATTTTTGCTGAATTCCGGCTGAATTGTGATGAATTCTTTATGCTTTTTTGCGTGATATCCTACTTCATCACTGCTCGAATCTTCCCAGTTTCCTACCGAAAATATATCGGGTGATTGGCCGTAGAGAATAGCCTAGAGAATACATGAGGTGAACGGTCTATTTATAGACATTCATCACAAGTCCAAAGTCTAAACTATGTGGGTTTGGCCCAAATTAATAATACATCTCGAAGTTAACGGGTCAACCGGACCGATAAATAAGTAAATAATCCCGAACCAATATCCATTAATCGGACTGTGTTCTGAGCTTGGTCGGGCCAAAGCTCGGGTGTAACGGGCCGATAGTCTCGGACCCGGCCCATTATCCCAACAGAATTCATCCTAAAATCAACAACAATATTGTTACAGTAACGTTACAGTACCACTACGTACAATACTTAAAACTTCTTACTTTTTGTAAAATCTACAGTAATATGATACGGAGAGGGCATATATATGTCATGTGAAATGTTGGTGTTATATCTTGTCTGGGGTCTCAAAAACTCTATAGCTGACCCTGTGAGAGATCTCAAGTTCAATATTCAATGAATTGAATTTGATCCAAATTAACTCCAAGCCCCTGGCTCCTCTCCCGAAATTATAAAAACTCTTTCAAAAAAAGAGTTCTAATTAACTAACTCTACGAAGTAATTTGTGTGTAAAACCGGAATTCTTTTTCTCTTGAAGAGGAGTACGTAAAACTAATGTCATACGTAGTACTAGAATTACAATGTCATATTTTGACATTACAAGTTACTAATATGTAGGATCGTCTTATAAAGGTGCAATATGTACTTGACATCGGATCCATTTTTGTAAGGGTCTCCCTAAATTTAGTACTAGTATGTAGTACTACATATTAGTAATAATATGTTGATATTTCTAGTTGTTATGTATTATTCAAGATTCCAAAATATATGTAACATTTAAATTGTCTAATTATTTGTGTACTTTATATTTTTTCTTATTTTAGAGGGTTTCAATTCGTCATTTGAAACCGGGACCTCCAAATTATGACCATGCTAATATGCAATATTAATGTTGGAACGTACTATGTTTTAAGCATGACATTAATTGATGGAGTTATGGGACTAGGCCCAGAGCCCAATCAGCCCAAGCTCCGAACTTGGACTTGTGGATCCAGGTCCACAACCTGTAGCCTGTCTACCATCCCAACGGGGAACCCGCCAGTTCAGCCGACCTGCCAGCCAGGAAAAGTAACGGTCAAGTAATTAATGCGCTATTAATTATGTATTTAATTTCGTATTAATGTTGTATTTAATTAGTCATTATTATCGGTAGCGGTTACGATTTGTATACGCCTATAAAAGGCGACTTGTAATTCATATTAAGAAGCAACTTCTATATGCTATTTCTGGCTAACTTTCCATATTCGTACTTTCCTAATTCTTGCTTGAGTGTCGTACGTAACTTTCCTAAAAGCCTACGAGCGTCCTATTTTGGACCAACATTGGTGCTTTCATTGAGAGCCTCTGTTGTCTCTCACATCACTCGATAGGAATTATCCAAAAGATTCATCACAACTCCAAAAAATCTAGCCAAAAATTTGCCTAAAAAGAATTTCAACATCCTGGAATGTTTACGGAAATGGCCGGAGCTTTACTGACCGGATGATCAGACCCAGGTTACACCGGCCAGCTTTGAGGATGAGATCTACACCGCATCAGGCGCCTTGCCCCGCCGCAATTTGCCGACGTGGAGAACTCTTCGGCAGTCGCGACGAGGCAGTGCTGCTCCCTCACACAGCAGTCTCCTCAGCCAACAGTTCTACGACATGGAGAATCGGTGGACCCTTGCTCACGAAGCTGCGGAACAAACAAGCTGGCATTCCTCTCTCAACTTGGACCGGTGGTCCGATGGGGCAGCTGGAATAGCGAGTTTCCCTCGATCGGCGGTCACAGTCCACTTAGCCGCTCACTCTTCTTTCTCTCCGACCGGTGCTCATCTCGTGGGCAGTCACCGCTCGCCCCTCGCCTCACCGCCAACGCGACCTGAAATTTCATTGTTTTCCGCCATTAATGGAGAATTGGAGTCCGCGAAAGGCATGATTCGAGGCTAGACATGTACCCCGTCACAGCGACGCCTGCATCGCATCTGGTCGCTCCGCCATCGTGACCGCCGCTGATGAGATCTACCGTTTGACGTGGTTAAGGCCGCTGATCTCTGTTAGAGGTCAGAGCTTCACCTCTCCTCTAGCAACACCGGCCGAAGTCCACCTCTGTGGCGGCCATAGCCAAGGGCTTCACAATTTGCTCACTGGCAATGGCAACGGAGGGCGTCTCCTTCTCCCATCTCTGAAAAAGGATGGGCCCCTTGTTTAGTTGGCCCAGAATTGTTTCAACAACACATCATCCACGTTTCGGCTTAATTGAAAGCTAAGTACTCCAAAACAATTTCCCTACAATTAATATGTCAAACTATTTGATTAAAAGAAATCATACATTAAAAATATCTGAAAAGAATTTTAAGTGATATGGTTGCTTTTACTCTTGTTAAGTGTGTAATTTTAACATTGAACAACGGACTTATGAAATCTAATCACTCAAGTACGCTGGACGAGCACACACACTCGTACACTGGTCGAGCACACACACTCGCGCCACCGGGTCACGTCATATGGGTGTGACGATTAATAAGCTCCAATATAAATGTTAATACCACACACTCTTGACTTCATATGAGTTCTCGCGTGCTCTTAACCCCTCATAGTGCATCACACTCCGACCTCGAGGGACGAGTCGCCCGTTCAAAAGTTTTTACTTGCGGGTTCGAACTACTAACCTCGGGCGGCGAGTTAAACTCTTGTTAGGGGCCTAGAGCCACACTCTTTCGAGCAACTTTGTCACTTAATTGACATTCACATTTCTCGAAAAGGTTGATATACTTTAGTTCTTTGGGGTTAGATTATCCGTTCGAGTGAGGAGTCCGCCTCACTTACTCGCGGATTCAATCTTTCTTTCAGAGACTGGGGTGTGGCCTAACTTGAGAACTTGATCTCTTTTCAAGTAGTGAGTCCGACTCACTTACACATTGAGCCGCGGTTCGACACCAGGCCGGATGCTCTATTCTACACTAGTTTCTTTTATGTGTAGGTACAACTAAATGAAGTGGGGGACCGAGGGTCTTACCGTCTTCAAGGAAGCAAATGACGAACTTGACGAGTCAGGGCCCGACGAGAGGAACAGTTATGGACATCCTATTTGCAGATGGCGACAATTGCAATAAAGGCTGAGGATCTCACCTCTTGCTTCATCTTGGGGGCGTCAGATGTACTCTTTTTCCCTTCATTAGGATTTTTTCCCATTGGGTTTTTTCCTAATGAAGGTTTTTAATGAGGCATCTCCCCAACATGGACAAGGGCGAGATCTTCTGGTCTCAGAGAAGAGCAGCTGACTTGGACTACTCCCTCTTAGTCGAGTCTACTACTCGACTAAGGGAGTGGGGGACTCGTGATGGAGTTATGGGACTAGGCCCAGAGCCCAATCAGCCCAAGCCCCGAACTTGGACTCGTGGATCTAGGTCCACAACCTGTAGCCTGTCTACCATCCCAACGGGGAACCCGCCAGTTCAGCCGACCTGCCAGCCAGGAAAAGTAACGGTCAAGTAATTAATGCGCTATTAATTATGTATTTAATTTCGTATTAATGTTGTATTTAATTAGTCATTATTATCGGTAGCGGTTACGATTTGTATACGCCTATAAAAGGCGACTTGTAATTCATATTAAGAAGCAACTTCTATATGCTATTTCTGGCTAACTTTCCATATTCGTACTTTCCTAATTCTTGCTTGAGTGTCGTACGTAGCTTTCCTAAAAGCCTACGAGCGTCCTATTTTGGACCAACATTAATTACTCTCATATGGAGAGAAATCACATATATTATAATTCTATTATGAAATTTGAAATGCCATATTGTATTAACTCATACAGTGATATTTAAGACAATTTTAATAATTCAATGTTTGTTGTGGAGTAAATTTTAAAAGTTCAAGTGTATGTGACTATACCGTGCTTAAATACTACTCGTATAAACTGTCACCACGAAGTATAAAGTTGGAAAATACCATTCAAACATGTTTTTTGTACATGTATTGTACATTTTGTATGACAATGTCAATGTGGTGTTTAATGCACCAAACCCTTGTAATATAGAAATTCGACGCATTAGCCCATGTGATTTAAAAAATGCGTCAAACCCTCTTGTGTTTTAATCAGTTATGCGCAAAATCTTTTCTTTGAACAAATTCAATTGTCAAATAAAAGAAAAATGATTAACATTTTTGTATGATTTAGAGATTTTGACATATTTACTTGCATATTCAATCAGAATGTTAGGAAAAGTGATTTCCAAATCGTTAAATTTATTCATAAAAGGGGTTTTGTGCATGATTAGTTAAAACACAAGAGGGTTTGACGCATTTTTCAAATCACAAAGGGCTAATGCATTGAATTTCAATATCACAAGGGGGGTTGGTGCATTAAACCCGTCAATGTGCCATAACAATGCGTCCGTATAATTGGCAATTCATTTAAGAAATGCGTACACCAAATTTTATGAACTAGTTTGCTTGGGAAAAACAACAAAAAATTCTCTAAATAGAAGTAACAAAGTTGAAAATTCAAAATAGTGTTGTTATATTTTTTTCTCTGAACAAGAGCAATTTCCACGAAGTTTAACCTCATTAGGCTTTAACCATGACAATTCCTGCCAAGTTTTTTTCAAACTTGTTAGAAATTACTTATATTTAGACAATAAAAACATTAATATCCCATTTTGAAATTTGAGAACCTTTTTAATTCTATTGAGGACAATTTCTAAAAAGAAAGGTGATTGAGGTGAGGGAGATGTGGAGTGCGAACAGCCACAAGTCCACAACATTAAGCAGGGTACGTATACTCGTATTTACTTGTGTTTGTTTGTTGCAGTCGGAGTCGGAAAGGAAAAAGACATCATTTTGGAGTTTTTCAGGAAAGGCTGCGCGAAGCCCAAAGGCGAAGAGGTTCCTGAGAGGACAATTTTTGAAGTTGTTCTTCTAACTTATGAAACGCAGAAACTCCAGAATATCTCTACAGAA